TGATTTCACTTTCCTAAAAATATAATAACTTGAACGTGGGTAGACTAAACAGAATTTTCATGATCTTTATGGAAAGGAAAAATCGTTCAAAACGTCTCTCACTTTTTGTAAAATAATTTTTTTCATTCCTAACATTTAAGAATGTAATTTTACGTTCCTTACAAATTCACATTGATCAATTTTGGCCCCTACCTAGGTTTCCGACTAATTTTTGGTCGGAATCTACCACCACTTGCTTTGCACGTGATTATTTTTTAGAGATAAAATTGTCAAATCAAATTTTACATAATCTGATACATAGTCTCTCACATTTCACAAAATGAATTTTTTCATCCCTTATTAACTATGTGTATGAATAACTTTTTTTAAAATTCATATATATATCTGTTTGATTTCACTTGAATAGTACGAATAGCATGTAATTATCTCTATTTGATTTCACCTATAAATAAATTAATTGTAATTGTACACATGCTATTTAATACATATATAAATGGGTTTAAAATTAATAATTTTATTTTAAACTCATGTATATATTTATTTGATTTCACCATGTGACTTATTCAATATTTGTGGCTTAAATGTATGGGATCTTTTGAACAATTTTTCCTTATGAAAAATAAGCTTTCTTTCTTTTTTAGCTTCAATTAGCAATTAACTCGATGGTGTTGTTGAAAAGCTATTCTACTTCTTGCACGAGTCATTTGTAGATAACAAACATGTTTGTTCTTATTCTGGCATTAGACTATCAGACTTCCGCTAACAACACTTCTTTTTGCATACTCGAGTTTGGTAATTTTCCTTAATGCGTTTTGTCACTTTCTCCTGTCAGTGTGAATTTTCCTGCTTTTTCCTGTCAGTTTTCTTCAATTTTTTTGTCTTTCACATTGACAAGGTGAATTCATATAATATACGTAAATATGTCATTTTTTTGGGGTAAAATACATTAAATCTCCTGTGATTTGTCTATTACACATGAAACTCTCTCATTGTTTAAAAACACTTACATAACCTCCTTATGCTATGAACTTCTTTGAAAAATGGACAGAAATCGTCCAATTTAACAGAAAGTGAGTCACACGCACTTGACGAGTGAGTGCGGTAGCATTGTATGACAAATAATTGGGATAATTCTACATTTAAATTTTTTCTTTTAGCTTTTCTTCTTCCCTTCTTTTCCCCTTCTCCTCGACTGCCTGTGCAGCAAACCAGAAAGCAAACTGGAAGCTTCTTTGGTGATATTGCTTTTCTGTTTCTCTTTTTCTTCGTTCTTTTCTTCCTTATTTTTTTTCCTTTAGTCGCTACCGGCGCCATTGTCACTGCACCTTCGTCAGCCATTGCTGCCACCGTTGCCAAACACCACCACTTGCCACCGAAACTTTCAACAACCCAAACTTTCAGCAACCCAAGAGACATAAATAGACAAGTAAATACGGGAAAATGAAGAAAAAACCCTAAATCTCCTCCGTCTCCTCCTCTGACCTCTCAGTAATGTCAGAGAGTTACGTGAAAAATGGAGACCAAGGTCTACGAACCACTGATAAAATTGAATGAAGATGGACTGATTTATGTAGGAATCGAACCCACAGGATAAAACAATTCAAGACAAAACTCAAAGTCAAATAAGTATTGCAGCGGAAACGAAAACCGAAGGAACAAAAACAAGGACAAAAGCCGAAAACAAGCAGAGCTCTAGGAGGCACCAATGTATCTTATTCTTCTCAACTCACGGCACATCTGACAAGGCTACTAGTACTGGTTTATATAGACCACTTAGTCTCCTATAACTTAGCTTCCAAATCACAAAGGGAATACAATTGGACTTGGACTTAAAGAAACCACTACCGACTAGGAAACCAAGACTTGACTTAACTACTACATAGCCTCCCTTAAATCAAGATCTTCAAATTTCACCATGCCGAGCATCTTCTTCAATTTCATGAACATCTCCAATTTGAGCGGCTTTGTCAAAATATCAGCTACTTGATCTTCACTTCTATAATAATCAATGGCAATTTCTTGCTCTTGAACTAACTCACGAATAAAATGACACTTGATGTCAATATGCTTGCTACGTCCATGAAAAACTGGATTTTTTGTCAGCTCAATAGCAGACAAACTATCACAAAGTATTATGGTAGGATCATCTTGCTTGTGTTGTAAGAATCCAAGCATTTTCCACAACCAAAGTGCTTGAGTAGCACTACTTGTAGCCGCCATGTACTCCGCTTCTGCTATGGACAAAGCAACCACCTGTTGTTTCTTTGAGGACCAAGAAAATACACCAGATCCCAAGTAAAATGCATAACCAGAAGTGCTTCTCCTTTGTATTGTGTCACCAGCCCAATCACTATCAGTGTATCCAACAAGGTTGTTATCATGTGAAGATGAATAAAATATACCGTCAGATTGCATACCTTGAACGTATCTCAAAATTCTCTTAGCAGCTTGCAAGTGAGACTGGCGTGAGACTCCATGAATCTACTAATCAAACCAACTCCATAAGTGATGTCAGGTCTCGTAGAAGTTAAATACCTGTGACTCCCCGCCAACCTCCTAAAATAAGTAGCATCAACAAAATCACCAGTACCATCTTTGGTTAATTTCAATTTTTCTTCAATCGGCGTTATCATTGGTTTAGTCACATCCATCTTAAACTTCTTCAGAATATCACTTGCATACTTCTTTTGTGAGATAAAAATTCCATCATCCAACTAATGAACCTCAATACCAAGAAAATAAGACATCAATCCCAAATCTGTCATCTCAAATTGACTAATCATGGCCTCCCTGAATTCAGAAATTAGTTTGGGATTGTTGCCTGTAAATATCAAGTCATCCACATACAAGCATACAATAAGGACATCTCCTTCAGGGTTAAATTTGATGTACAAAGTGTGCTCATATGGACATCTCAGAAAATCATGCTCAACAAAATAAGTATCAATGCGAGTGTACCAAGCTCTAGGAGCTTGTTTCAAACCATATAATACCTTTTTCAATTTATATACTTTGCCTTCTTGACCCTTTCTAACATAACCTGCAGGTTGCTCAACATATACCTCTTCTTCAAGAAAATCATTTAAAAATGTGAATTTCACATCCATTTGATGAATTTTTCAGCAATTATTTGCAGCAAGTGACACAATCATATGAACCGTATCAAGTCTGGCAACTGGTGCAAAAATTTCAAAATAATCAATACCTGCTTTCTGCTTATAGCCTTTGACAACCAATCTCGCTTTGAAGCGATCCACCTCTCCTGTTGGCTTATACTTGGTCTTATATACCCATTTCACTCCAATTGGTTTCTTTTCAGGTAGGATAGTGGTCAACTCCTATGTATCATTTTTCTCAATGGCATGAATTTCTTCATCCATTGCACGAACCCAACGATCATCTTTGACAGCTTCTTTAAATGAGATAGGGTCACAATCTGCAAAAAGAGCAAAATTTACAATTGCTTCATCAGTTAAATCATCATCTGTGCCAACAACATAATCATCAAATCGGGCTGGCATGCGGCATTCTCTCTGTGGTCGACTGGATGTCTCAACCTGAATAGTAGAAGTTGAGGGATCACCATAAGAGTGCACAACTTGCTCCACTACTTGCTTACTAGCACTCGGTCCCATAATGGGAGAAATGGATAGATATTTTGGTGATGTCTCAAGATCTTTTCTAGACCAATCCCAAACTCCATGTTCATCAAAAGTTACATCTCTGCTAACAATCACATTTCCTGTGTTTGGATTGAATAACTTATACCCCTTTGTCTCATGACTATATCCAATAAAAATACACTTCTCTGCTTTGTTATCCAATTTCTTTCTCAACTGATCTGGAACATACGCATACGCAAGACAGCCAAATACCTTGAAATGAGAAATATCCGATTTCATGCCAGTCCAAACCTCTTGTGGGGTCTTCCCAAAATTGCATCTAGTAGGATACCTGTTCAAAACATAAATAGCACAAGAGACTGCTTCTGCCCAAAAGAATTTAGGAATACCTTTAGAGTGCATCATAAACCTCACCATGTCCATCACAGTCCTATTCTTCCTTTCTGCCACACCATTTTACTGAGGTGTATATCTGGCTGTCAATTGATGTTTTATACCACTTTCTACTAAATAGTCATCACAAACAAGATACTCAGTGCCTCTGTCAGTTCTCAAAATTTTAATAGAGTAGCCACTCTGCTGCTCTACATAATTTTTGAACTTTTTAAACACATCACATGCATCAGATTTATTCCTTAAAAAAAACACCAATGTCTTCCTACTGAAATCATCAATGAAGGTGATAAAATACTTACTACCACCATTGGAAAGAACTTCAACTGAGCATAAATCTGAATGAATCAGTTCAAGTGGTCGATTAGCCCTCCAAGCCTTGCCTTTTGGAAAAGGATCCTTGTGCTTCTTTCTCAAAATATAAGACTCACACTTCTTATCAGGAAACTCAACAGAAGGCAACCCAATAACTAATTTCTTTCTTGCAAGAAATTTCAAACTCCCAAAATTCAAATGCCCAAAACGCATATGCCATAATCAAGAATCATCACAAGTCACAGAATTAAAGCAAGGTAAATCACCATAGTTAAGAGAAAGAGGCCACAAATGACTACGGTTCATTTTTACCTTGGCAATTAATCCCAATTTCTCATCACTTATGGTGCCATCACCATATTTAAAATGCAGATCATAACCTTTCTCAGACAGTTATCCCAAACTCAACAAATTATGATATAAACTTGGCACATAAAAAATATCAGAAATATAATTTAAAGACCCATCTTGCAAGATAATTCTGATTTTTCCTTTTCCAAGAACAGGCACTTTTTCATTGTTTCCAAATCTCACATATGCATGAAAAGATTCATCCAGGTAAGAAAACATCTCCTTTTTACCACACATATGATTACTACAACCAGAATCAATAAACCAATCATTCTTCATAGACTCTTCAGATGTAGAACTAGAAAACAACAAGGTCTCCTATCTATCACTACTATTTTCAACCACGTTAGCATGTACCTCTTTATTAGACCAACATTCATTCTGATAATGTCCAGTTTTACCACAGTTATAACATTGGACATTAGATCTATCACGTCTTTGAAAATTATTTCTTTGATTCTGCTGGTGATTGTTTTTCTGATCCCTATTAGAATTGTTTCTGGGATGGTAAGAATAATTACCTCTTCCACGACTAGGAAAGTTACCTCTGCCTCGACGTCCTCTACCTCTGAAGTTCTGGCCCCTTTGATTTGTGTCCATACGATTCACATCTTTTCCTTTTGGGTGATCCACCTTGGCTTGTAACACCTCCTCTACTGTATCCGATGGCTGCTGATTCAAGGACATCTCATACATCAGCAATTCACCTTCCAATTCAGCAAGTGACAAATTGTCAAGGTCCTTTGTGGCTTCAAGGACTGTCTTCTTGGTGTGAAATTTGGCAGTTAGAGATCTTAGAACTTTTTCAACAACTCTAACCTCTTCCAAATTCTCACCATTGGACTCCATGTCGTTGACAATTTCTTTAATTGTACCAATAAAATCTTTAACTGACTCCATGGATTTCATCTGGGCCAACTCAAATTGTCTCCTAAGTTCCTGCAATCTGATTTTTCTCACACTAGCAGCACCTCGATTTGAGTTCACTAAAATTGTCCAAGCCTCTTTTGCCGACTTTGCATGTATAAATTTTTTGGCAACATGCAACTGGACTTGAGTGTTGAGATAATACATTGCCTTGCAATCGAACTGTCTATTTCTCTCTAGTTCTTTAACTGCATCACTTGATAATTCTATACCTTCTACCGGTTCCGTGTATCCTGTTTCGACAATATTCCAAACTCTAATATTTTGGAAAAAATTCTTCATCATTAACCACCAAGCCTCAAAATCGTTTTTACCGTCGAAGATAAAAACGTGACAATTGTGCAAATAATTTGGATCCATATTTTAATTTTTCAGGATCTCAAACAAAGCTCTGATGCCACTTTGTAGGAATAGAACCCACAGGATAAAACAATTCAAGACAAAACTCAAAGTCAAATAAGTATTGCAGCGGAAACGAAAACCGAAGGAATAAAAACAAGGACAAGAGCCGAAAACAAGCAGAGCTCTAGGATGCACCAATGTATCTTATTCTTCTCAACTCACGGCACATCTGACAAGGCTACTAGTAGTGGTTTATATAGACCACTTAGTCTCCTAAAACTTAGCTTCCAAATCACAAAGGGAATACAATTGGACTTGGACTTAAAGAAACCACTACCAACTAGGAAACCAAGACTTGATTTAACTACTACAATTTATCATATAAAGATAGACTAAGTTGGCGGTGGGAGTGCCCAAATTTTTGGGAATTCTCTGGGTAGCAACATCCACCAAGATTCTGAGTTGCTGTAGTAGATTTTAGTGATGAAGATTGTGGATCGAGTAAAGGAAGAATAGAAAAGGAAAATGGAAGGGAAAAGCAAAATAGAGAAGATGAAAAATGAAGAGGGAAAAAAAAGGAATGAGCGAATTTCTCCTGTTCAACAATGAAGGTTGGAGAAGATGACATCTCTTTATAATTTCAATTTAACCCCTCAATTTACTTTTTGTTCTCAAATAAAGTAAGAAAGAAAGTAAAATTTCAACTGAACCATATATGATATATCAACTATTGGTATGGATCGAAAACAGGATTAGTATAGGAATTTTAAATCTTTCCGTTAAATTGGGTGATTTCCATCCATTTCCCAAAGAAGTCCAAAGTATAGAGGAGTTATGTGGGTGTTTTTAAATAAGGTTGGCAATGGGGCGGGGTTGGGGCTAGGAGGGGTCCCCCTCCTGCCTTGCCCCGCTTCCCATACGAGTGCTCCCGCGGGGCTGATAAAAATTTGTTGTATAATTTTATTATAGTTAAATTTTAGCAAATAATCAAGTATTAAAATATCAACATATCACCAAATTATTATTCATTGTAATTTCACTATTGAAACTTATAAAAACATTCAAACAAAAGTTATTTGAATATAATCTAACATGATGAAATAAATACAACTAAAGTAGGTAAGTTTTTACTTTTGGCACAAATATAATTACTAATTCATTATTGTGCTTGTGCTTTTTTTTGAGAAAAAAATATTATTGTATTAAGTGTAATTAAGTATTTAGTATAAATGTATTAGTAAATTTAGTATAACTAATTAATAATTAGTAGTCATATATATTTATTAGTATAATTAATAATATCAATTATATTACATATACTAATATACATCATATAATGCATATAACTAATAATATTATTATCATAAGTTTGTAATTAATTAAATTAAATATTATATATAATTATATACATATATATTTATATATTTATATATTTATTTTTTTTAAGCGGGTGGCGGGGCGGGGGTGCCGTTTCTAAACGGGGGGAAAAAATTCCCCACCACCCCACCCCCCGCCCCAACTCCCTTCCCATTAGCCCCCCGCAGGGCAGGTGGCCGCACATTGCCATCCTTACTTTTAAACATTGAGGGGATTTCATATATAATAGGCAAATCACAGGAGGGTTATATGTATTTTACCCCTTTTTTTTGTTACAAGAAAAATATGGTTGGTGCAACTTAAAACAAAAAAGGATTGCATCAACCAAATCATTCATAATGAGGGTGGTTTTCTTGCGGTATTTTTCCGAGAAGATAAGGTAACCAAGAGTTAGAAATTGGATGAGTTGATAATTGTAGAATATTTGGGAATGCATGGTAGACTAATGTGGCATCACGAGGAGTCTTCATGTAAATTTCATCACGCCTTCCTCAAATTGAAAAGTTAACTTCATTTTTCCCCTGTTTGTCGCTTATCATGGTATGTTTTCAAACCTATTATTCCTGCTTTGTCGACCTTGCTGCCTGACTCTAATTTGTAATGATGAAGATCAGTTTCGATCAATTAGTAAAAAGATCAGTTTTGATCAATTAATTGATAAACAATTAATAAAATTGGAATGATTTGCAACGAAATAAAAATTAAAGTCAGAAAAGGGAGACAGTTCAGGGGAATTTACCGTATTTTACCCTCTTTTGAAGCCATTCAATAGTTTTATCAAGTTCAACAAAAATTTTGGTCCCTCTTCGTATTGCTAAATGTTTCCCATGCAAGTAACATTTCTAATTATTTTGCCCCAAGAAAAATCTCTAATATGGTAATCATCAATTTGAATTTGATACTTTAATATGGGTTTTTCTAAGGGTGCTCGAACAATTATACGCTTACCATATATATACACTTATGAACAATTATTATCTTCTCTTACATTTATATGCTTTTCTTATTTAATCTCGCTCACTCTCCCTTGTATTTATTTACTTTCTTTAATTAATCTTATATTTCTAAAAATATGACATCTAAAATATATTTTAACAAACTAAAATACTACAGAACTTGCCTTCAAGAATTTAAATGATTCAAATTGGAAAGTACTGGTGAAACAGTAAAAAAAATTATGAGATGATCAGGACATTAAACGAATTGGACTTGGTAAAATTTTCAACCTTCTCTCGCATATAGCTAAGAATTGACAGCGAGACATAATTTCACCAAAACACTTTTCTTTTGAGAAGGATTAGGTTGGGTGGTAATATGAAAGGGATTGTACGCAGGTGATTCTAAATTCAAAATCTCTCACTTATGAAAAAAAATACACTTTTTTGTTTGATAAAACATCATAATTTCATTAAAATATGCACTAATGGCATAAGTCACAATATCATACATACATAGATATTAAAAAATAGATGTGAAGAATAATACTACATAGCTAAAGGTGATGTTTTACCAAAAACATCATCATTTCATCAAAAGTAATGACAGAAGTTACTTGATCAAACATCTATAGATATCAAAAAACAAATATGAAGAATGACTATTATAGATCAGATAAAAATTACACTGTAAAACGTCAACAATATTTTTAAAAATAAGATAAAATAATTGTAATCTTGTGAACATCTGTGCATGTTTCTAATCAGCATAATTAACTGTCTCAAGTCTTGATATTATAGTGAGATCTACCAAATAGATTTAAGAAATTCCAAATTTAATAGTCAAAACTTTCAAAAAACAAAAACTCAGATCTAATAAAAGAAAAAAGAAAAACTACCTAAAACTCTCACTAGAAATCCATAGAAGAGAAGAAAAATGTTACTAGAAAATCTATGAAAGTAGAAGAAAACTCTCATTAGACAACTCTAAAAGAGAATATACTCTCATTAGGAAATCCTAAAAGAGGTTTTATTCACAAACGAAAAGAAACAAAAGAGAGGATTTCTCCCATGGGATTAGATAAAAAAAATACACATATATATATATATATATGATCTATCTCTTATGAGAGACTTGGAGGAAATTTTGGCCGAAAATTTTTTCTAGAGAGTTTTAAATGAAAACATAAAAAAAAGTACACTTTCAACTAACCATTAAAAGAAAAAATAAATTGATGATTTGATTGAGCCTAGGGATGGCAATGGGGGTGCCCGCGAGGGCTAATGGGGCGTGGAGTATGCCTCCACCCCGCCACCAGCTAAAAAAATAAATATATAAATAAATAAATATATATATGTATATAAGTATATATATAATATTTAATTTAATTAGTTACAAACTTATGATAATGATATTATTAGTTATATGAATTATATAATGCATATTAGTATATGTAATATAATTGATATTATCAATTATACTAATAATTATATATGTCTACTAATAGAAATTATTAATTAGTTATACTAAATTTACTAATACATTTATACTAAATTCCTAATTACACTTAATACAATAATAATTTTTTCTCAAAAAAAAAATACAAGTACAATAATGAATTAGTGATTGTATTTGTGTCGAAAGTGAAAGCTTGACTACTTTAGTTGTATTTATTTCATCATGTTGGATTGTATTCAAATAACTTTTATTTGATTATTTTTATGAGTTTTAATTGTGAAATTACAATGAATAATAACTTGGTGATGTGTTGATATTTTAGTACTTGATTATTTGCTAAAATTTAATTATAATAAAATCATATAACAAATTTTTATTAGTTCCGTGGGGAAAACGGGGCGGAGCGGGGGAGGGGCACCCCACCCCGCCCCGTTGCCATCCTTAATTGAGCCCCCCATTTTATACTGTGTAGAAATTGAATTTGGACAAATTCCATTGAAATTTCTGAATCATTCCAAATGCATAAAAGATCTACGTTCTTAATGGCTATAAGCCGCCTCCAAAACATGAGGGGTTCTTTTCCAGGAAAATCACAGAACGTTGAATAATGAGCAGTACTAGCATGGACTCGAATTTAAGCCGCCTGCGTCAACTCCCTCAGTTGCGTGGGAAATAAGTTTAGCGTTTACTTAGAAGACCTTAACCACCTATATAACAATGGCCAAAAGGCTTGCTAATTGCAAAGTATCCTTCAAGAACTAAATACACCAATTTTTATAGTACCAGTCATAGTTCTAATCAATTATGAGAGCAATGGCAGCCAAATCCTCCCAAGAGTCTCTACTTGTGGTTGCATTTGTTATCTTTGCAATCTTGGTTTCATCAACCATAACATCTCATGCAGCTGGAAGCACTGGATTAACTCATCGAGGTACATCCAATTTTATGTTCTTGTATGATTTTGCTAAGTCAATTTTTTTTTCTTTTTTTTTTTTTGTAATTCAATACTTTGGGTGAAGCAGAAATTATGCAGAAGCCGAGTTGTCCTCCATGTATATGTTGCCATAAAGAACTGCCGCCACCGGATTGTTGCTACTGCGCCTGTTATGTTACTGAATCCGGAAATGAAGCTCCATGAAAATTGCACTCAGAGCCCTTCAATTTCGACAGAATTTTATCCTACAGTAGCAATGATATAATGAGCAAATTATGGCTACTATTTCCATGGTTTCATTTTCACTTGTTATAAGTAATGATTATGTCCAATTTTTTTTTTTTGAAATGATGTATAATAAGCTGTCGATGATACCACACTCAAAATTACTCTTGTTGTTACACAATAAATTTTTTAGTCTATTGTTATGTCCGTTAAGATATGAATTTCAGTCTCTTGGTAAGTGGATTTACTCCAAATAAATTTGTTACTTAGAAATCACACCCACAAATGCTTGTAGATGCAAATTGTTGAATGCTAAGGTACAACTCAAAAAATTCCACCAAAAATATACAGGCGATAAATTTCATAAAACCAACATATATGGGGAGATAATTTACACACATAATAATATGCAAGGAACAAGAGGAATAAATCAATAATATATATAAAAAAAAATTACACATAATAATAAGTCACTCAAATTTTGCTCTTATCAACTAACTGCAATAACATGACTCTCTATTTATAAACTAGATAACTTGATAATAAGTTTTACAATCATAAAGTTTTTTTTTTTTAATAAAATACTAAATTCTAAATAATAAAACTACCATAATTTGACTCAAATAGAATTACTAAAACCTTAACATGAATAAAACACTATTAAACAATAGTAATATGGAAACTTTTAGACTTGACTTAATATGCGAACAGAAATGAGAAAAGAGCATTCCTAGGTATAATAACACCAATTTGTACAATTTCAATTTATTTGCGTATAAATTCCGTTGATCTAATAGACTTGGAAGATGGATGCAGAAATGAGATCATCTCATTGACTTCTTTCAACCAACTTCTTGAGCTGATTTTAAACCTGTCATTGTCTATTGAAAACAAAGTTGAATACAGTTGCAACGTACAATTATCTCTTACTTACAAGTGTGTGGTGATTGAATTGATTCTCAATGTAATATTACGATTTCTATAACTAGATATAAAATTTAGGAAAATTCTATAATCCCTTCTGAATACCATTCCTTCAATTTGTCTCTCTCACTAAAGATAATAGTTTAAATTTTAAATATTCAATAATATTTAATCTAAGGGTCAATAATACTTCTTTCACCGTCTCAACGCGAATGTGACTTATGAGTGTGATATCCAAAATTGACTATACAATCTCTCATTTAAAGTAGCCAGCCAACAGGTAAGGGCGGCTTTTATTTGTTTATTTTGTTTTAATGGTGTCATCCAAGACATTATTTAATGGTCTATCGCATCACTACCACAAATCATACTTTCAGAAGTTAACACTCCTCTTATAGAAAGAAGGACAACTATGCCCTATTTATTATACCTAATTGATTTCCTCCCTTTTTTTCCTTTTTGTTCTTAATTCTTTCACGCCACCACTATTGCTCAATTATACAAGCAAGAAAAATATGCACTATATCTCTAGAAAAATTTAACTTGATTAGTTAATAGTTTCTTCGTATTATTGTCGTAGGTGATAAATAAATATTTTTTATAAATATTCATCCAAGAATATATATATATATATGTATGTATGTATGTATATTGGTATTGCATGACAGTATGTTGCAAGAATTGAAAGGTATTTTGCAATTTTTCTTGAACGGAAATTTCATTCTCACCGTCTCCTTCCAATTTCTATTTCTGCCTCCCACCCATTCCTCTCCTCAAAAAGATTACAAAAGAATTTTTTTTTCTTTTAGTTAAGCCATTAATAAATAGATGGACTGTAAACAACTACTTTAACACCTCACCAGTTTCAGTAAGAGGAAAAAAAGGAAAATAAGAGGAAAAGGCTAAGAAAAATATTTAAATTGTTTGGTGTATTTCTGCCAATCAATGCCTCAACTCTTAAAGCTAGATTACATGCTGATAAACAAAGGGAAAAATAAAGTAATCAATAGGGCAAAACTTTTTCCTGTTAAGGTGAAAGGGTTCACTAAAATTAATTCTCAGTCGATAGGCATCAATTTCATTTTCTCCTTGTAATTTTAAAACCAAGGTCAGGATTATTACAGCCTTATGGGAGCTTCAGTCCAAGCAAAAATAATAAAAAGAGAAAAACCCTAATAGTCAATAACAGTATATGAGCTTCATTCTTCAAGAAGTACATGTGAAAACACAGTAGACAAATTGACTTTGGTGCGTCAAAGTCAACCAAAATATTTTCCTTTAAGTCAGTCAAAAATAACCTACCTAGATGCTAGACCAAACAATGGTTACACAAAAGAAAAGAATTTTGATGAAATTATATATATGATTATAGTAAACTCATAATGGTTTCACTATTACACACAGATTATAACTTATAACTCAAATATAATATACAAAAAACTCACAAAAAAAGATGAATAAAGACCGTAATTAATAACCGATGAGTATTGGGATCAAAACTAGCATCTAGTTAAAACACGCTCACGTATGAAAAATCACATCACGCATGCAAATGTAGATCAATTAAAAAACATAATGACAGCCAAAAGGTTCAGAAAAACTATCCTTGTTTCCAAGAAATAGCACTCAAGGAGTTTGTTAACATTCAAATTAATTCGTACTTCATTTTTTGACCAAAAAAATATAAACAATTGCATTCTTATCTTCAAATTAGGATCTCATCATGTGATGCCCTTGACAAAATTTTGGTGTGGGTCATGTCAAGTTCACCGATTACAGTTAAAATGGTTCCATTGTCAAACAACAGTTTCGAGTCTTCCTATTGGGAACGCAAGTGATCATAGTTTGAATTCAGACTCCAAGACTTTGAATGAAATGAATGGAAATTCAATACTAGTAATTAATTCCAACTGCGCCTTTGCAGTTTAGACTTAGGACCATGACAAGTTTGAAAACGAAGGCATTAGTTTAAGTTAGATAAGAGAAAAGGAAAAAAAACTATTTTAAGTTGGATATTTACAATAGTTTATGGTTCTCCAACCCCTATAAAATATGCCCAGAATTTGACAACCAAATGCACCAAACAGTTTCTTCAGACAATGGCACTGAATTCTTCTATGAGGGCTGCTGTGGCCACACTCGTTCTGTTCTCCCTTGTTCTCGCTTTACCATGTGAGGCAACAAGACCAACCCCAAGTACTGAATTCCTCATCAAGATCTGCTAGAGCAAACTTCTTGATCAATATTTACTGTTAAACTTTTTATGCAGAAAACAGTTTTGTATTTTCATTGATTTATGTGTTTTATTTGTGGTATTGCATGCAGAGCTTATTGGGCGACCCCCGATTTTTTGTCCTGCCTGTGTTTGCTGTGCACCAGCCCCTCCAGGCTCATGTTGCCCCTGTCGCTGTCCTCCTGGAGTGGGAAGCCCTATCGGCTACGCAGCTGAAGCTGATAACACTTCGCCATGACTTGATGGCCACAAGTTTGTTTACTTTTCTACTTGTGTACGCGTCCAAAGTACCAATGTACTAGCATGATAAACATATGCAATTTCTATTGGATACCATGTTGAAGTGAAATACCTGATTACGAATAAGTCTCTTTAGACTCTCCCTCCCCCGTAATTTGGGATAGAATAAACTATACAATTGTTATCATTTTTGAATTAAAAAAAAAAAAAAGAATTTGGGGGGTGGGGGAGGGAGTTTAAAATCCCTGCTTTCACTGTTATTTGCATGTATTTTTTTTTTATTTTGTTTATCAATATATTGGGCTAATAGGAATACATATTGTGATGTTTGGTAACTTGGACTTTGTGTGATGCTTGTCCTTGAAAATCAGATCGGGCACACTAAAAACAGGCATCAAAATGAACAAAAAAGATAATATGCAATATCAAATCAATGAGAAAAAAGCAAACTAGACGTTTCTTTGCTTAATAGTATCAATTAAATCAACACCGCAGAATCAACTTTCGACCAACTACAACCGTCATAATTTGACAGTACAAATTAGGATTGGTGAAAAACTATGGATTTACGTATTCTTATCTCAGTTCTTGGCTTCAACTAGGTAAGGGAAGCAGCAGACAATAGTGAAAGTGCATTTTAGCTGACAAACAACCAAGAGGCCCTGTAAACTTTTTTTCCTTGTCTTTTATTGACCAACGTAAACCAGTCACTGTTCACGAGGCTTTGTGCTTTACCCTCAATGAGACCTTAGAACTCCATTAACTAGGCAAGACAGGCATTTAAGCTCTCCCCAGGGGAAGACTTGCTTTGTACTCGCACTTGCCTGGCTAGCGTCCCATGTCGGCCCACCTCGAGGAAATATTTACTTCAGTCCTAGAAGGTAGATAGACGAGGCAAGGCACCGGTTCATTGTTACATGATTTTGTTTTATCCTTTCTTGTTTCTCGGGTTTGATCAGCAAATATTGCTATAGAATCGGTGATATTGGATTCCATTCCATTGCCAGAAAGATCATTACAAGCGCCTCATCGTTTCATATCCTGGACTTTGTAACCGTTATGCAGGTGAGAGTTTTACAGCGTTAAAATCAGAGTCTTTTGAAGAAGCATGTGAAAGCTCTCAATGGCAAAAGGCAAAACCGCAACTCCGTTCCCCCAAAAATGCTAATGAGAGAATATCTAGCCACTCCTCTTATGTTTGTTAGCAAACTCCAAAAAGCAGACTTTGTTACCTGCACAGGAGGACACAGCTTAATTGACAATGTAAAAATCTGTTAAGATAACCAAGGTTTAGTAAAGTATCTTGATCTAGTCAGGGAGCTGGAAGCTTGCATCATGAGAATGAAAGAGCAATTATAGCTTTTCTCTCCTCTCCCTGTCATGGTTCAAAGTCGTGGTCCCGGTCCCGATCCCGGTTCGGACCATTCCACATCGATCTCAGCATATCAATCACGGTTTCGGTGAGACGTAAATTTTGAAACATTTAATATTCTAAAAATAATAAATAATATTCAAAATAATGCTAAACAAAAATAATAAAAAAATTAATAAAAGAAAATCTGTAAAATGTAAATTTGCGAATTGACTCAGAATGACTCGGACTGACTTGGCCGAGACTATCCACATCGGAGACTTCTCGGCTGAATTCTTGGTGACTCGGCTGAGTTCTCGGCGAGTTAAGTATCTAGGAATGATTTCGTCCTGATATCGTATCGGAGGGGTCTGTTCCGATGATGATTCGGCCAAGTCGTCTTGGTCTCGGCCGAGACTTTGAACCATTCCCTGTAGATACTTTGAAGCTTCAGGGGATGTTTACAATCAAAAGCTACTTTAGTGAAACAAAAGGTTTCCATATAATATGCTGCATACTAGCTCCTTACAGACAAAAGTCAAAGCTAAATAAATTAAGCTGTCAAAATTGCATGAATTTCACCCAAAGTAACTACCTCACTCGTACTAGATTCAGAAATAGTATAGAATCTGAGCGAACTCTTTGAAGTTAGGCTTCAACATTTATTCTTTAGCAATGATGAAATCTTCTAACAGAATCCTACCACACACACTATACATACATGATACATGTGAACAGATCCTACACATGTTTAGCCGCACCAAGATTTTCCTCAAGCCATCCATCACAACTTCCTTGAGAGACTCATCACAACTTGAGCAAAGTCAATCAAGTTGATGTGACATTGCATTGCACCTAGAAAGAGCAGAGACATGTTTTAAGTTCCATGGGAGGATTTACATCTTCCTCGTGTTTCTTCCCTTGACTTTTCTATGGATGCGCTGAAAAATAGTTTGTGAAATCGTCAATTATTTATTTTTATTTCCGAAAACATCATGCTACTTTCCTCTTGCCAAATAAAACACTACAGCTACACCTAATTTGCACTCAAATCATTGCCCTTTTGTGTGGGCACATATCCAATCCACACATTTGAGTTTTCTTGAGTTTAAAAGAGATCTCATACACCATTTGGCAAGAGTGATCACCATATTCAAATGGCTGATACACAATGTGAAAAGAGATGATTTAATAATTTTGCTAAAAAGATTGGAGGAAAAAAAAAGTGCTAATAGCACCAAAGTAAAAAGGTTACTAAAAGTAAGTCTCATTTTGCTTGCCTTTAAACAATGAAGAGCAATTGTAGAAGATAACATTTCAATTCAACCATGCAAAATTGCCAGTAAAAGTACCTGAATTGATCATCCCAAAGGGGCCTTCAACTTGCAGATTCAGTTGAGAAAGAATCTTCAACATCCATGATGCATGTGGTTTGCAAGTTTAATAGACTAGATAATGAAACTTACAATTGGTTGAAACACCTTTCAAATGTAAGTTAAGTAGGAGACCAAAGCACTTGTAAACTAGCCAACCCTGCAGGAGTACAAGATACGTTTAATAGCTTTGTCCTCTCAAATTTTCAGAAGATAAAAGGCATAACTTGTCTGATTTTTTCTGTAGATCCAAATAAATAGAATCTGTTTAAGAGGGAGAAATATTGAGAACGGGAAAAAAGAAATAAAGGACATCTGTAGGATTCTCCAGATAGCATGCAACGATTTGATTATGAATCTTGCTCGCCTAGGCTCCTTAAAAATAATAAGCAATCTCTTTTTCTTTCTTTTTTCTTTTCCCTTCCTTTATCCTGATCCTCATGATACATTTTGAATATTAAAATGGAAGCATGATGCAGCAAGAAATCTGCCTTGTTGCAGACCATTTAATGGAGATTTTTTAAGCACAGTACTGTGGCATAAGTGAAGTTAACATAAACAAGAATGAACGTAAATATTTGCCAGGCGAGACAGGAAGTTATAGCCATGTTGGTCCATCTTAGCATTTCAATGAATTAAGGCTAAGTTTATAAACTGCATAAGTGCATATGAAATACCAGAAATGTATCGATAGTGAAATAAGTCGCATCTGTTTGTTAATGATACCTTACATGCCAGAAATATCTAAGCATCACTTGGAAGCAATGCAAAACCTCAATCTGCATTCAGCATCCATTATTTTAGCTTGTAATTTAAGTAGCATGTACTGCCCAGAAGACTGAATATCAATCAGAGTCATACTCCACTCACCAAGATACAAAACAATTCATATACAATACAAATTAATTGTAAATAAAAGCATACAGTCACAACAATAACTGATTTTGAATACTGTGCAGTCTATAGGATTAACTAAAGGTAAACCTCAAGTGCCCAATGGAATGTTCAAGTATATTGGTGAAATGTATTAGGAAACTCAAAAACTGCAGGCAAGGAAAATAAAGAATGAAGGAGTTGAAACAGAACAAATAGAATTTACTGTGTTTGAAAATCCTTTCTGTGGACAAATGCAAAACTCAAATTTCAGGTGCCAATATTTAGGATTGAAAGAAAAGTTCCATGCATCTCTTACACTGCTAAAATTTACACATACTCCCATAAATTTTAAGGCTAGTTGTTACACTTTTCTTCTTTTCTTTCTAAGATCAGATGCCAATCAAGAATTATCAGGATCTTGGCAGGAATAAAAGAAAGAAAATAATCCAAAAACAAGACATGCAGAAGCAGAAAATACATAACAAACCGGTTCAGGTGTTGTGTAGTTCAAATTAGTGGAAAGGAAATAGTTATGCAATAAAATTCGGAAAAACTTCCTTGAAACCATCTGTTTTGGAAATAATTGCAAACAGAAAAACTTCCAATGGTTAGAAGGTAAGAAAACTCAAGCAACCTCATGCATTTGTTGCACTTAGATTTCAAAAGAAAGGAAAAAAGAAGAACAAAAAGCTTTCTGTGACTGGAAGGTCGGAAAACATGAGGAACTTGATATCCTCCATCTATGTAGCATTCCAATTTTAAAAGAAGAAGAAGAAACCAAAGAATATCAAAGATGGTAAAAATTGGGAAATATGTATAAAGAGTTTTGCTGAAGAGACAATAACAAGAACCTGCGTATATGTAGTATTTTAGGTACATATGCTTAAGAGATTAGAAGGAGATGCATACTTTGTGGTCAAAGAGGATGACCAAAGTTGTCTACTGTTTTAACATAACCATGCCCTCAAACAGCAAACTAACTTCAAATATTGTGCATTTAGCATAATTTGATTTAACATCTCTGTCTTCTCCCAATATGATTATGCCTAAACTTAGATATCAACTGCAATGGTAAAAAGATCAGTTAAAGAAAACCCACTTGTTTGGGTAGGAAATGGGGCACAGAAATTGGCAAGTTATATTGAAGGATAACTACAATATGTCGATAACGAATTACAGATTGGCATACACAGTTCCATCAGCTACTAGATGCAAGTTCAAAATTAAATGCATCTAATGAATCCCAATAAACTGATAACATTATTACTCAAAGGTCCTAAATATCTAGCCTATGTTAATTGCCAAGTGAGTTCTGCTTAGTTCACACGGTTAAGGTACTACAGAAACCTCTGATTATTTAACAAGAGGCTTGCAGAAATAACTTATTCTTTGAAAGAAAAAACTTCAAGATCAAGTGCCTGAAACTAGAAAAACATCACTGGTGACTATTCCCATCTTTCGATGGCCATTGTTCACACTTATGCTAGCTAGTTACAAACTTACAGTACCAAACCAGGAGAAGAAATATCTAATATTTCATGTCAGGAGGGTATAAATAATTACCACAAACAGATCAACTTCCTTTTCTCATAGGCAAGCAAAAGTTATATTCCATTTATTTGAAAGACAGAAAAGTCCCACGAAGCACAAGGATCCTTTTCAAAGAATGTATTTATAATATTAGGAACACAATCTACAAAGTGCCCTTTGAAGCCCTTCATCTAATTTATTCAGCAAAACACTTTTGAGCAATCTCACAGGGTCAATTCACATAATATTTCATTTTTTTTGTTTCAAAATGGAGTTTGACACAAGAAGGCATCTGTCTTACTAAGTGTATATTGATGCAATCAGAGAAAGATTAACAAGTTGTTATTCATAGAATGCAGAACTTAACAATAAGTCCTGAAAGGAAAGCTCAATTCCACCCCATTTTCAGGACAACAGTAAACAGATGCACTTTTAGTAGCAAATACAAATGGAAAGAGGAATTATTAACATATCACAACCGTCTAGCATGAAGAGAGTAAAAAGGAAAATAACGAAAAGGAAATATCTTTGTAACGCCGGCACTTTCTCCATCCCTATTCTTTTAACTAACTAAAGCAGTTCCTTTTGGTTCTTCATTTTGTAATATTGCTCATCCTTATTTATCAGAAGTTTTGTTCTTCGGCTAAACATTTTTAAAGACAGGAAAACATCATTTATTTTTCTTTTTAAGCACATGGAGCTCCAAGACGATATACTCAGATAACTAAAGATGGAAGCTTCTCATTGAGGAAATAACAATTTCAGATACGAGAGCGTTCAAGCGTTCTTATGTTGACCCCATGAGTGTGACTCAGCTGATTATCTGAGATTTGAGAAAATTGTGGCTGGTTGGAGGCCAGTGAACAGGCAGCAGGACAATCTCAATTTGTGCTCAGAGTTAGGAGTTTCTTTAGTTGTTTTTGATCCTATATAATTAGTATAGCAGTGTTGGTTTTTTTACTGTACTCTCTGCTTTGTTCTTGATGTAAATGACCTCAGGGAGTCCCCAACTGTTGTGTACGTTTTTAGTTCTTATCAATAAAAATATGGAGCTTACCCAAAAAAAATTCAGGGATGATGGCATTTCAAAGAGTATTTACTATTGTAGTGTTTGAATCTTACTTTCCAAGTTCTACTTGAAGAAGTTCAACAATCACCTAAATTCATGCATCCAATCGAGGAACAGAAAGTTTTGACAGTAGATCAAATTCCCCATTTACAGTACATGTGCATTAAAAGAATTTTAATGTTAGACAAAAACCTACAAGCGATGGAATCTGATCTGTGAAGGAAAGCCAAGTTCAGTTTATTCAAGAATTGGCTTGAACAGCAGAACAGTACGATCATAATTTAACAATGCATCTAGAAAATTCATGCTTGAAAAAGTTCCTATATTCTGACTGACTACCTCCTAGTTTTCCACGTGAACAACAATATCTTAGCAATTGCAGCTCTTACTATGGAGCTTAAGTTATAGATTTCTTCCTCCTAATTAAAGGTCTTACAAAGATATTCTACATATGTTGCTTCGTGAACTGAAGAGAATGCAACTTTCATTGGCATACCATCCCACATGACAATTTCTAGGTAAACAGAGGCAGAAGGCCTAAAATGGAAAATCAAACTCGATAACTGTGTCTGACTAAGCAGAACAAATTCTGTTTCCTCAATCAATTTCATTGACATACCATCCCATGTGACAATTTCCAGATAAATGGAGGCAGAAGACCTAAAATAGAAAATCAAACTTGATAAATGTTTCTGACTAAGCAGTACAGATTCTGTTCTGAGTGCTATATCTTATCTCTTAAGCCTCTCATAGCCTTCAGAGTAGTGAAAATCAGAGCCATGGAAAACAAAATATTTATTATATTCTTTTATGAAAGCCACAAGGCATTAATAAAACAAAAAATGACTAAGTTGTATGAACCCCAAGGACTTACTTTTTAAAACAGAAGCAGGTATTCTCTGTAAAAATGAATCTGGAATTTTTCTGCTCAATTGTCCAAGTATACAAACATGCAATTGTCCAACTCCCTGAGTTTGAATGTCTTGACCACTTCTGGAACTTCATCCACGTGTAATAAAAGTACGAATTGGATTCTGCTCAATTACTTAACATAGCAAGTGAAAGATATATGAGGATGCAAAGAGAAAATCAGCTACAAAATTCCACCAGAAGATATTGTGCTTGTAATTATTCTCAATATCAAAAGTGCATATTCCAAGCTAAAGAGTGAAGTGGTGCAGTTGTAAGTAGATGGGATGAAGAGGATCCAAGAGATCCCATTAAACTGATTGTCCAACAAACCACATATGCTTCTTTTTCATAGTTTGTCAATTTACTCCAGATCACCTCTTGACTTCCCAAATCCGAGACATTTTAATCCATGTAGTAAATGGAAAGATAATTTCATAAAACCATAATATTGTACCTTATAAAGAACTCCATCCAGGTTCCTTTATCACTTCAGTTCCTGCCATTTCACTTCTGAGCTTCAGAACATTGTCCCACTGGCCCATGTCAGCACAGATGTTTGCCATAGAGACATAAGTTCCTGCTTCATGTGTCTCCAACTCCATGACCTTTTCAGCTGCTAGCTTCGCAAGATCCACGTCACCGTGTACTTTGCAAGAAGCCAGTAGTGTTCCCCATATGAGTGCATCAGGTGTTATTGGCATGGAAGTGATAAAGCTTTCAGCATCCTTCAATCTTCCTGCACGACCAAGAAGATCCACCATGCAGGAATAATGTCTATAACCGGGCTCAATTCCATAGTCCTTCTTCATTGAAGAAAAATGAAAGAATCCTTCTTCAATCAAACCACAATGACTACACGCTGATAGAACAGCAACAAATGTCACTGAATCAGGGTTGGTACCTGACTCTTTCATGAGTTCATAAATTTGTAAAGCCTCTGTCCCTTTTCCATGTCGAGCATAGCTTGCAATCAAGGCTGTCCAGCTAATAATGTCAGGTGCCTTAATTTGTTGGAATGCTTTACGGCAATCCTCAATACTTCCAATTTTTGAGTACATAACAAGCAGTGAACTTCCAACAGATACTTCAGACTCAAAACCCATTTTAATGACCAGGGCATGAATTTGACTACCAATGCCTAATCTACCTAAATCTGCAAGGCATCCAATGACGCCTGACAATGTGAAGGCATCAATAACCAAACCATCGACAAGCATATCACAGAAGAGGTGAATTGCCTCCTCAGGGTGACCACCTTGTGCATACCCAGAAACCATAGCAGAACCCATGAACTGGTCCTTTCTGGGAATCATGTCAAACACTCTCCTTGCAGAGCTTAGAATGCCACATTTTGAGTACATACTAACCAGTGCACTGCCTACGGAGGCTTGGTCGCCCATATAGTTCCGAAGACTGAATCCATGTACTTCTCTCCCAGTCCTTAACAAACAAAGAGCAGAACATGCAGTGAGAATGGCAGTTAAAGTCATCTCATTAGGCACAATTTCTTCAGATAACATCTCTCTAAAACAATAAATGGCTTTAGTTGCACTGCCATTTTGAACAAAACCGGTAATCATTAAGGCCCATGAAATGGTATCTTTGCGTTCAAGTAGATTAAAGACATTATAAGACTCTTCTAAGCTCCCACACTTGGAATACATTGTGAAAAGAGAACTGCCCGCAGAAACATCAAAAACTAGCCCAGTCTTAATGGTATAGGTATGGATCTGTCTCCCCATATTTAGAGAGTCAATAATACCTAAGACACTAGTGGTACAGAACTTATCAGGTTTGACATCCTCCTGGAGCATTCTATGAAACAAATTAACGGCCTGTTTGGAACTTTTGTGCTGAGCAAAAGCAGAAATCATTGTACCACAGGTACTCAGGTGCTTCATACCTTCACTCTCTAGAAAAACTATCTCAGATGCATCAATTGCTCCAATCTTAGCATACAAATTGATCAAAGAAGCTTTCACCACTGAGTCTGAGTAGAACCCAGTTTTAAAAATCCAACAATGAATTTGAATTGCCTCCTTAACTGCATCAGGATTTGCGCAAGCAATAAGAACACTTGTGATAGTGTACTGATTAATGTCCACATTCATATTTCTCATTTGCCTAAAGAATTCAACAGCAGATACAAAATCACCATTCTGAGCAAAACCAGAGATCATAGTAGTCCATGAAACAACATTGCGGACAGGCATGAACCAGAATTGTCTAACAGCATCATCCATACACCCAGATTTAGCATAAAAACTAAGAATAGCAGTGCCTAAGAAAACATCTTCTTTTATACCACACTTAATCATCCATGCTTGAACCCCTCTACCAAAATCAAAATCTTTAAGAGCAGCACAAGCAGTTACAACACTTGAAATAGTAAATTCATTAGGCATGATTAGCCGATGGCACATGTTACTAAAAATATCCAAAGCAACCCAATACTCCATATTTTTCACGGCTCCGGAAATAATAGCGTTCCAACAAGCCACATTGTCACAAGGAACATCATAAAATACCCTCAAAGCATTGTCAAACCTACCACTCTCCGAAAACAGACCCATCATTCCAACCCTGACATACCCATTCGAAAAAAATCCCTTTTTTATCGAAATCCCATAAATTTGCTCTCCCTGCAGCACGCATCCCAAAGCTCCACACGCAGAAAACACACTCCCATAAGTATACTCCCCCATTTCCAAACCAAACCGATGCATCTCACAAAAAGACCTCCATGAGTCCTCAAACAACATATTTTTGTTACAACCAGACAACATCAAATTCCAAGAAACAGAATTTGGGTCAGGAATTTCATCAAATAAGTTAAATGCATATTTTGTACTACCACATTCGAAGTAACAATCAAGCAAATAATTTGTTCGAAACATATCCAAGTAAAGATCATGGGTTCTCAGTAAATTTGCGTGAACGATTTTAGTATCTTTAAGCTTGACTTTTCTTGGCTTGTTGGGGTCCTTAAGGATGTGAAAAGGGTTCGGTTTGGTGACATTATTAACATTTTGGTCGCAAAAAATTGATGGGTTTTCACGTACTGGAAGGGATGAGACAAATCTGCGGCCTAAAGCTGAGATTTTGGGTTCAAAACGCCGAGGAATGTGGAAATTCATTTGGGTTCATGTGAAGACAGAAAAAATTGAGAAAGAAATTATTTGGCATTGGTTTGAATAGAGCGGGAACCAAATGATTGGGTTAAAAATTAAAATGTTTCCCCAGTGAATGCATTCATATATATTCTGAACAAAACTTGGACATGGATGTCAAGATGGCCGAGTTGGTCTAAGGCGCCAGTTTCAGGTACTGGTCCGAAAGGGCATGGGTTCGAATCCCATTCTTGACATTCTTCCGCTTTTTGGGGTATTTTCTTTTCCCCTCTTACATTTCTTGGCTCAGTTTCTTTTAACTGGTTTGGTGATAACATCTTCATATGTTAAATTACCTTATGTACAACTGGTTGGTGACAATTGCGATAGGCTGATAGCTTTAATTCCTCGAAATAAACGTTAAACCACATGAAAAAGAGGTTTTGGTTCAAAATTTAGTTGTAGCTAACCATGCATGAAGTAAAAGGTGTAATTGAGGAAAAGCATGAGGATTATTATTTTAAGCTGGTTTGTTTCATACTTCAATTGTGTTTTTTATTTATAGGATCATTAGGGATTTTTTTTAGTTCAGGAGGAAAAACTTTCAAAGAGCTAAAAAGAAAAATAAAAAGCTAGCTGCAAAGTGCTAATGTGAAAACTCTACAAAGATCTTCGTTTTATTGAAAAGGATCATCTACCTACATCTGTCTCAAAATCACTAACCATACTCCAGTCTATTCCAAGACTATTGATGTAGTTATAATTTTATTCTAAATAATAACTTAAATTTGAAGTTGGAGACAAAGATGAATCCAAGAGCTATGGAATGAAAGGAAATGTTTATTTAATTTCTAACGTAACTAAAATTACATTCTTATCCTGCAAAAAGAAAAATTATCATCCTTTCCAGTTTGTCAATTGTCCTTTCATATTCTTTAAAGGCAATAAATAATCATAATATAGTTTCTAACTAACAAAAATACTCTTCGTTAACATGAATTTGCTAAAGAAACCCTTCAACTATTATTACAAAACTCCCAATCGATTAACTTTTCTTTTAAGTATAATTATGAACTTTTTAGTGCTTAAAGTTTTTTGTTTTAACATTTTAGTCCTAACACCAATCTTAGAAGGTCTAAGTTGGAAATTTTGTACATTTACTTTACATCCTAGCTTGTTAATTTCCTTTTTATTATCATTTGAAATAATTTGCACTTTTCATAGGGAGCGAGGATGCCCTAAGCAAAAAGGAAGAGATACATAGAATGGCAGAGACAAATAGAACTTTTGTACATGTCCATTAATCCATAAACAGGGATAAATTGGCTGAAAAAAATTTCTGTGAATATAATTGAATTACATAATTATTACTCCTGCAATCCCAAAAATTTGGTCACTTTTCGAGAAAACAACTTAATACGAATAGTGTTCAAAACTGACAGCTATATGTTTGAATTTCCCTCTTTGCCCTTATTTTCTAGTTCGAGTTAAGTTTGAGTACTAACACCCTATAATGCTTGTGGGATCCACCACTTGAAATGATCAAAATTTTGTTGTCGTTTGAACATCACGCTACTACTTCACTCCTATGTTTTCAGACTCGGACCGGACATCGATTTGGTCGAGCTCAGGGGTCAATAGGTTCGACCGGGTTCGATCGGGGTTGAACCGGATGACGTCATAAATAAAAATTATTTAAAAATTAAAACATTTTATGTAACACACTTAAGAGCATGTTAATATTAATAAATGTATATTCATATATATTTGATGTTTCAAATATATTTAATAAGAAAATACAAAGAATTAGAATGATCAAGTAGCTACTTAGTTTATTAAATGAACATTAACAAGTTTAGAATTAAAATTATGGATTTGATTGAAAAATAACACCAAACTTTAGGACAACATTTGTAAAGTATGAAATATTTGAGATATATTAATAATTTTTAACAACTTAGGGGCCAAAACATGATATTGAAAATGCTTTGACCTTTTAAAAAAAAAAACTTGACATCAAACCGGTTCATCCGATTTGCCGATCAAACCCTGATTTTGACCGGATTTGACCGAGTTTTTATACTCTCGATTTTTTAGAGTAACTTGGACTGAACACTTGGCCGGTTCCCGATTCAACCGGCTGATCCGGTCCGAGTTAAAAAACACAGCTTCTCTCTAGCATACGTCTCACGCACGAGATAACTCAGTTAAAGTAGTTTGAGGGGACTTTATAGGAAATTGTGATTATGTGAGGGTATTCAATGGAAATATATGAAAATTTTGCTTACTATTTTAGGTAAGTGACAATAGTTTTGGAATAGACCAAAAGGAAAGCATGACACTGGAGTAATTAAAAGTGTTTATTAAGGACTTTCTGGATTGTACATGACTTATAAGCCTTATTTATAGCAAGCAAAAGGCAATTACAACCCCAGTTAACATACAAAACCAAGTGAAGTACAAACTTAAAATTGCTGACATTTTCATTGTACTACAGCAAGAGCAAGTAACCATTAACTCCAAGCGTCAAAGCACTCAACTGGATCAGAATCTGATGCCATTTTGTTTGATAAACTGAAGAAGAGAAACCAACTTCTCAAAAGGTGGGATAATTTCCTTCACCACAGGCAGCTGAATCAGAGCTTCCACCCATGAGAATAAGAGTGGATTCTTTTCAGGGTCAAGAGTCTTTACGCCAAGAGCCTCCTCTTGTGCCCTGAAGGCTCCAAGTGTTGAAACAATCATGATATCTAGAATGCCCAACTTTTCAGGGTGAACATTAGGACTTTCCTCTGGAAAGAATTCTCTCATTCCCTCTTCCAATATCCTTTGTTTCTCGTACATTTCTTCAAGGGCTTTCTCTTGTGCTTCCTTGTGATCAGGATTGAATAGTTTCGCCATGCTCTCCAGCAGCTGCACAAACACACATTCATGTGTCACGTTTCTTCTTTAAAACATTTCAACTAGGGGGATTGGTTGATATCATGTGGGGCAAGAACAATTGCAGCTGTTTGATAGTTTGGCAAAAGAATCAGGAAGGCTAAATTTATAAGGAAGATCGATCTCAGAGAGAGGAAAGATGATACCTGTTGGATATAAGCAGCCCAGAAACGAACTCTGGCTCTTTCATATGGATCCTTAGGCAAGAGTTGAAGTCCATGACTTGGCCAAGTTTCATCAATATATTCAAGAATAACAAGGGATTCACATATTGGTTTTCCATTGTGGACAAGAACAGGAACTTTCTTTTGAACTGGATTGTATTTTAGGAGCAAAGCACTCTTGTTGCTCAAATCTTCCTCCACATACTCAAAGGGTATGCCTTTGATTTTCAGAGCCAATTCCACTCTTTTCACATAAGTGCTAGCCCACATTCCATGGAGAATCACTCTGTCTTCCTCTCCCATTTTTTTTTTTCCTGTATCAGATATTGATTCATTAGATATGTATTTATACTGGTGAACTGTATTGCAGAGCAAGTTAATTTAGAAAAACCGGGCAGCGTACATTTTTCCTAGTTTCTTGTTGCCCAAGAGGACTCATGCAGTTGGTCAAACATACATGTCATTAATACAATGGAAAGACATATGGAATTATGGACTAGAGAATTTAAAAATTTTTCGTGTACAGTTTGATAATATGTCCATTTTGATCACCTTATTAAACTTGATTTTAGATTTCTTGGTGCTCAAGATGGTTTTTTTATTTGTGTTGCTCACTGAGAGAGAGAGAGAGAGAGAGAGAGATGGTTTTCTTGGGAAAGAGGATAAATACAGATTGACTTATACACATTTATTTTATTAAAAATCTGTGACAAACTAGTGTTTGGCAGAATCAAGCTTCAGTCAATCATTGTAATTGACTTGAAAAGCTTTAACAAAGTTTGCTAATTTAGTTTCTGACTTCATTGTCACAGACGAATTGATTTCTTTCCACATTTTGGTTTATCAAATTGATTGTTGTCTACACAGTATCAATAAAATAGTTGAGCTTTGTACATAGTAGTTAAAAGATGACGCTTGATGTACAGTTTTTTTACTACAATTTTCTGAATCGGTTTACCTAATTCATATTGGATACAAAATTAATTTTGATGAGTCACAGACTTGGATTATTCATTCTTATTCATAGCTGGAGCTCAATTAATTCAACTTTCAACTATTTTCCATTTCTTTAATTCACAGAGAAAGCTAAAGGTAGAGTCAAGTATACAGCTATACCTATGTTAGTATGACGCACTTTCATTAGTACATTTTTATATCAAAATCAGAGTCTACAAGAAAGCTGCCATTTCCATATAGCTGGAAGAAATTAAAATTAGGAGCTTTCTTGGGTAAGGATCCACCGTTACCATGTTTTCAACTACCTTCAAGTTCAAGAAACAATTCAGTCTAGGTAACTAAACCTCAAGTTCAAGCTAAAAACACAGTAGATTTGGACGGCCATTTTCCGTCGAAAAATTGTCTCATTTTCCGTGAACACATTTTCCTATCACCTTTTTACTTCATATACATTAAATCGCTACAGTAATTTTTCTACAAAAAATCCAGAAAAATGCAATCCAAACACATTAATTTCAAGAAATCAGCTAAACCTCTATTATGCCCAGTCTATGGCATATGCCTCAGTCAATAGGTTTCTATTACTAGCTACTTGTATCTTTTTGTGGTCCAACTTCGAAAAGTTTGTTAAGGATTGATTGTGTAATAAATTTAAGAATCAGTTCTCTTGGGTGATCAGTCGATCGCTAAGCATATAAATATGCACATTGTTTATTCAGATGACTTATGAGTAAGCCTTACTTGTTTCAACTTACAAGGAGAGGGCAGTAGTCTCGATTAACTTACATAAAGTTAATTCACAAACTAACTGCTATGTAACCACAATCAATTGTAGAATTTCATGCCACTTTCTTTTAGGGATTGAAGAAGAGCAATCAACTTTTCATATGGAGGGTTACTTTCCTTCACTACAGGCAGCTCATTGAGAGCTTGCACCCACGAAAATGCGAGTGGATTCCTCTCCGGATCCAAAATCTGTACACCGAGAGCCTCTTCGTGTGTCT